ACTCTAACATCATTATGCATATTCTCCTTACTGTCCTCTCTACATTTCCAAAGGTGCAGACAAGGAGAATTAATTTAACAATCAAGATCTGCTTTAGTTGGTGATCATTTCCTTTATTGTTGTGACCTATGTGTAATTTGCCTCCCAGTTAGCTCCGTTGGTTAGAGCACTGGATTGTGTTGTGTGGGAGGTCGGGGGTTTGAGCCCCAGCTGGACCAATACTCATGGTCTTAAAGGGGAACTGAAGCCTAAAATTGGTTTATTGTTTGCATTCATTTCTAGTTAATTAGCTTTAGAGGAGTAAGATAAAGTGTTGATATTCATTTTCGTTCACTTCTTGTTTTTTACGAGAAAATTCGATTTGAAGTTGCCTTTTTCCCGCTTTTGGGGCTGTAAGACCGTTGGCTCAAAATAGGTCAGCAGCGGTCGTTTGTGACATCAGTGGTGGGGAACCAACTTAAGAAAAACAACTGTTATTGTTTCATTTTCATAGTTAATCCCCATTACAAGTCACTCAACTTCGATAACTCCATAACCAAACCAAATTTCTGTAGGAAGAGTACGGGTTTACTATCTTTCTTCCCCACCAGTGACGTAAGAGTGAGCTAAAATGACTGCTGACATCACTTTTCTGAGCCGCCGTACTATGAGGCGAAAATACCACTTTAAACTATTTTTCCGAGGCGAAGTTGGGCCCAAAGACTGAAAAAAACCCTCAAACATTGTTATTTGAACCATAAGCTGCGATTTTAAAATGGTTCAATTTTAGGCTTCAGTTCCCCTTTAAAATAAGTGAGGAGAATTTACTGCCTTTCTATAATCAAGAAATGGATAGATATTCTAGTCTTCTCGGATAAGGACGAATAAACCATAGGCCCCGTCTCCTGCAGGGTTAGGGGTAGGAGACGTTAATTTCCCACACACGAGATTACTGTGTGATGGATGTCCTCCCCTGCGGTGGGATGGGTGGGATATTGGGCGCACTTAATTTGGAGCCTCGCTCTGTTGTGCGACCCTCACCACACTCTGGTGAAAGTGATTAAAAATAAAAATAAAAAATTCTGTAACATACTTGTAACTAACAATCATTGGGTAACAAGGTCTCCTGAAGAGTTTTTAGTAAGTTTCTTGTCTCAAATAACAGGTTTACCCAAACTTTCAATCGTCCCAACTTGCGTTTCATTGTGAAACCGAAAAAGAAAGTCATGGATGAAATACTTCAGTATATCAAGACAAAGCAACCTGCTTCTTCTGGAATTGTATACTGTCTTTCCAGGTTGGTAATTAACTAAACAGTGCAGTGGACGGTCCACCAGTGATCAGTATTAGTTACCTGAATTGAGTCCTCCTTTTTTGTTATGAGAAGGTGCTCCTTGGTTGATTTCACTGATAACAAACAAACTTAATGATAAAAGATTCTAAAGGAACTGTGGTGCTGCGTCGGTTGGGGGTATTTCAGGATAACTTATAACTGAGTTGATAATGTAAATTGGTAGCCGTAGAGAGTTTCTAAAGCTAACTTTTGAAGCGTTAGCCGTTCATCAGAGCGAAATGATATCTTATGAGGCGTGAGTGGTCCAGCGGTCAGTTGCGCTGGACTCTAGGTCGGATGGCCCGGGTTCAAGTCCTGGCTGAGGCACTACGTTGTGTCCTTAAGCAAGTCGCTTCACTCACATTGCTTCGTCTTCTCGGATAAGACGTAAAGCCGTAGGTCCCGTCTCCTGCAGGGTCAGGGGTAGGAGACGTTAATTTCCCACGCACGAGATTACTGTGTGATGGATGTCCTCCCCTGGGGTGGGATATGTGGGAAGGTGAGATCGTTACATGGACTGAAGCGGCTGCCAGAGGCGCCTGATAAAATGTTGACGTCCGATCTCAACCTTAACAACAATATGTAAAGTTGTAAAGCGCTATTGATCAGCACATGCAAATATGCGCTATATAAATTGGTAAATGATTATAAGTTATTAATTATTAATGGTTACCGAGCTCATACGTCAAACCTACGAGAATCTTATAGAGCTACACTGATTATAAACAGCTTCACTGCTTTACTGCATGTAGAACGAAAATGACTTTTGAACCTAAATGAACACGAAAACCTAGTGAAATGGCTTTGCTACCACGGGTTTGCTGTAATTCAATGGTAGACTATTGGAACCAGCAATCGGTCACAGGTTCAACCCTTGTCGGGAGCTGTCGTATTTCTTGTTTCAGAGCATGTTAACTTTGACTAGAAGAATGGTGTTATTAACGGTCTACGTGCAGAAATCATCGCCCCTCTCATCTGAAGAATGTAGTCGTAATTCTGCCGCACATAGCCTCATCGGCGAAGTTTTTTAGCTATTCCTTTTCTTTTGTCTTCTTTTTAAGAAATGACTGTGAGCGTGTGGCAGACTCTTTAAATGAAGCTGGCATCAAAGCAATAGCGTATCATGCAGGACTGTCAGATGACCAGAGAACACAATGTCAGGAGGCTTGGATCAATAATAGATACCAGGTTAGTTATTTTAGTGAAGATTGTCGCTTCAAAATTAAGCTGTAGTTTTGTGTTAAAGTTCGTTATTTGAATTTCACACAACTCAGTTATTTTATGTTTCCTTGGATTTAAGGCTACGGCAACGTGTCCGTTTAGTTCTTTGTACTTATGCAAACTCTTTCCCTCATTTCGAGTCGTGTAGGCAATTGAAATTAGGGCCGGTGACGTCTCAAAAGTTGTTGTGCGAAAGAAATAGAGAGTTACAACTGAGCTTACCTTTTCATGTTGTCAAACAGCAATACTAAAGTACAAGATAGCTTGGATATATCAACTGAGTTGATAAAGTAAATTGGCAACCATCGAGAGTTTCTAAAGCTGAGGTTTGGAGCGTTAGCCTTTCGACAGGGAGAAACATCAACTTAGTTGATAAAACCAAGTTACCGTGTAACAACCTCCAAGGAAGCAGCACCACAGTTTCTTAGACACTTGCCCTCTTTAAACTAAAATATGGTTGTATCTCTTTTAAAATTTGATAAGTTTAACCTTTTTCGTGACTCTGGTGTGACATGTTTCTCCTATCTAATTCACATATTGTTGAACTTCGTCGTGGTGAAAAATATTTTAAAGAAACTCAGCCATTTTCTTTCAGGTGGTGTGTGCAACGATTGCGTTTGGTATGGGAATCGACAAGGCTACTGTAAGATATGTGATTCACCACTCAATGCCTAAGTCACTTGAGGGTTACTATCAGGAGTGTGGACGGGCAGGGCGAGATGGTCAACTGGCTGAATGTATCTTGTTCTATTTATACGGCGATACAAACAGGATAAAGAGGTACTTTGTTCTAATAAGAATCTGATATCAACTCCTCTTACTCAAGGGGTTGACATTGTGAGCATGTAACTGCAAAAGTTGTTCAGAATAGTAGGCATTGAATTCCTCATTCACAGTCAGTTAACGTTTTAATGACAGAGATGATTTGGTGAGAATGAAACTTGCATTCTATCTAGGAGTGTAAAGACTGTAAACTTGAAAGCAAAATGACCAAATTAGACCTCTTGTTTTTGTGCTATTCATCTTTTTTCCAAGCATATACCCCTACTTACCCCTGAAATTCGCATTTGTAGTTAGGTAGTATTTTAGATTTGGACAACCATTGGAGTCCAGTGAGCAAATGCATCGTCTTTAGGGCGCATTTTGTTGAGTGTCACAAAACCAGCTCTTGACGGAAGTAGTTACAATAGCCTATCCGAACAGAGGTAAATATCTCAAAGAACCAATAAGAAATTCACGTAAAAATGCACAAACTGCGCAGAGAACGGGAAAACCCACGTGACTAAGTCGTAACCGGCTGTAGTTTTGCATTTGATTGGTTGTGAAGACGGTGCGAGTTTTCTGGGCACAAAACACGCAACACAATGATTTGTTCAGTCCTCTTAACATACCGTTCAGTTTTGAGTATCAACCTATAGTATTGAATACAGTGTTGGTTGCTTTTTACTCTTACTGTTCTCCATGATCTCCTAGGATGATCCAGAACAACAGCGACAGGACAGCTGACAGCAAACAAGTGGACATGGACAATCTTTTCCGTGTGGTGCAGTACTGTGAGAACGTGTCCGAGTGTAGGAGAGTTCAGTTGCTACACTACTTTGGTGAAATGAGTTTTGATCCGTCCCAGTGCCGTGCTCGGTCAGACAGCACGTGTGACACTTGTGCTACTTCTGCAACATTTGATAACAAGGAAATTACGTCTGATGCGAAGGCATTTGTCGAAAATGTTAACTCCATTGTCCATTGTGGAAAAAGGAACTGGAGGAAACCTGTTAAAAGCTTTACTTTAAACCATTTTATTGACATATTTAAGGCAAGTTGGAAATTGCAGTCTGGTGGGGTTTTACTCAACCTTAAGATAAGGGGTACAACTTTCCTTGGCGAGGCTTCCAAAATGTTGTTGTCTCTCTCTCCGCGCCACAGTCTGCAGTATATTTCTCTGATTTCTTGTACGTCACAAACTATAGGGGAACTGATGGTCTGAATGTTGCAAAGACATACATTAGTTAAGAGTTTTTCTTTCTTAAAATATCGTCATCTTTGTGAAGTCAAGCATTCGTCTGTCATTAAAGAGTTCTACCAATTTTTGTTAAAAGAATCCACGTCATCAGGCTAATAATCCACAACCATTTTCACACATTGTAACAAAAATAAACTTGCTCGTCACCTTGTAGGGTTCAGGTGGTTCCCGTGTGACGTCTGAAGGACACGATAGATGTTCCCTGTATGGTCTTGGAAAATCCTATCATAGAAATGATGCAGAAAGACTGGGTCATCTTTTAGTCTTACAACGTGTGCTAGCGGAACATATAGTGATTGGTAACCACGAAAATGTTATCAGCTACGTCAAGTTAGGACCCAAGGGTATGGATTTCCTTCAGGGTCGCGTAAAGGTAATGTTTTCAGTTTTTGGAAGGATATTTATAATTGCATGATAAGTTTACACACGCACACGCGCACACACACACACACATATGCACGCACACATACATGCACGCACACACACATGTACACACACACACGCGCGCGCACACAAACACACACACCTTCCCGATTCCGTAGTACGAGGAAAGCGTTAACAGACAAAATGTCGCAAGCTTTTCAGGAACCAAAGTTTATCACTCCTTTGACAGCGAAATCGTAAAATTGCTAACTTATTGCTTCTACGCATTTTACGATTTCTCGCCAAGTAACAAGTTTTCTTAGTCAATTTTGGAGACATTGAGGAGACTGAATCACTTACAAGGTCACTTTACTTTTCGGTTCCCTAGCAACTTACTATAATGTGTTCTGTTTAGGAAATTATTTTAATTGGCAAAGTGGGATAAATTAGAAATAACGACAAATAAGTTTGTTCTTGAACATGTATCTCTCTTTTGGCGAACAGCTACCTCCCTTACCCGTTAGAGAAAAGGAGAAGACTGTCAGTAAATCTAAACGGAAAGAATTAGTGGATCAAACGTCAGACAGCAACTACATCAGCTCAGATTGCGCGACTGATACAGGAGACAATTATGATGGGAGCAGCAACCGCTCACATTACTGGCAACAGGATGAGAAGGCTCCTGTTGGTCGAAAGAGGAAACGAAAGCCGGCTGGCTCGACAGCAAGGTAACGAACAAAGTTACAATAGTTCGGTTAACTCATCGATTTTTTTTCCTAACATTTTATTGTCAACAGCCAGGTATACCCTTTTGAGTAAATCAAATCGAAGCTTACGTGTGAACACGGAGAAATAAGATTGCATTATTTTCCTACCCACCAGAAATATTTACAGTTACGCGGTAGGACCTCGAAGAACAGCATTTCAAACAGACGTGTTTTTCTATTAATCACAATTTTTCCCAAGGTTTCCAGATTTACTATTTCATCTTAAAACATCTCGAACGTGGTCTGTTCTCAGCGTAGTCCCACAATTAAAGGTATTATTTTGGTACATGAGAGGAAATTGTTAACCTCAATTTTGGAAAAGCCTTATCAACCTTAGGTTTGGAAAAGTCATATTAACCGTGCACAAGACACAGTCAGAGTATGCATGATAAGAAAAGTTGCTTGTACTGAGAAAGTTGATCAAATGATTTTTCCATTTCGGTCTTTGTTGTTATTAGGCCCAACTCAACTTCAGGAACGAGCACGGGCACCTTCGCCTCCGCCCAGCAGACAAAGAAGAACTTGCAAAATTTTCGCCGAAACAAATCTGAGACAAGCTTTAATCGTAAAGGGACTGCAGCGAATCAGAGGAGTGGCCTTGCTCTTATGGCACCTCCTCAGCCAGTCAAGCGATTTACGAGGTGACAGTAAAATTGATAGGTTGGGAGTGGAAGTAATTCACGAGCTATCTAAACAAACGTGACTCAGGGCAGTGGTAGTTATGCTTTGACGTCAGGTTTGGTTCACGACAAAGCGTCATCCAACTGTGACCATAGTAACTGGAAATGACAAAAATGTGATGTAAATGATTCATTTGGACATTATATAGCTGAGACCAGATGTTACTATGACACACCGTTGTTTGTTCTATCCATTGCTGTTCTACACATTCGTAAATTTAATTTTGAACTACAAATCGAGATGATAATAAAAATGAAATGAAGACTTCGTCGTTTATGTAGTAATGACCTGATTTCCACCACAAATCAGAGTCAGTGTGCCAGTTCTTCGATAAACGTGGTTACCCTGTTTCTGTCGTTCAAGCGGGTTACCACCGCGCCCCACTTGCTAGCACGGAAAGCCGTAAAAATCTTGAACAAAAGCTCATCTTTCAAACCGGCAGTCTAAATCCCACAGGGATCAATGAACGCTTTTCATTCCACTAATTTATTCATGTTTTTCTCGTTGCCATGCACCCACCAATAACGTAGCTCCATTTTCTGCCTTTAAAAGCACACACAACCCACAATTCCTCTATTCGCTCCGACGAAGGGCTAACGCTCGAAACGTCAGCTTTTGTAATCATTACGGTGGCCAATTTACCATTTCAACTTTGTTGATATATCCAAATTATTTCGTTACTCCCACCGACGCAGCCCCAAACAGTTTCTTTCGAAACTATCAGCCTTTATTCAAAAAATGTTTGTTACTATTGTCTTCGTTATCTTGTCTTTTTAATTAACAACTCTAACGCTAATCCCAATACCACCTCTTGAAATAGTTCATGCCATGTATCAAGACGGTCTCAGTGAGGTGATGGCTTTTACGTCTAACGGTTAATATTATTCAACTGTTGTTACCAGAAATGTCTTTTACTGTTAAATATTTTTACGACTATCGATTAAAATTTTCAATGTTTACGCCTAACGGCTAAACTTTTTGGCCGTTTTACGGCTATCGGTTCACCTTATAGAGACCCGCTATCAACAAACCTTCCTGGTAGCTTCACGGCACTAAACACGTAAATGGTTCACCATGAAAGGATCTGTTGCTCGCTTGATTTTACTGCCCTTTTGTTGTTTTCTAATCTGCTTGTCTGATCACCCAGTAGTTCTTGTTACGTGTCGTTCTATATTGTCTACATTTCTTTCCCTCTTCACCACTTTCCACGTTACCCTGTTCATCTTCGGTGCACTTTAGTCGAAACACTTATTATTGGTGGTTTGAAAATACTATGATCAGGATTTCGTTTAAATAAACATTTTATTTAGTATTTGTGTCAAACAAAGCAAGATCGGTGTTCGTGGTAGCAATTTAAAGATAAACATTTTCCAGTTTCTTTCAAAGAGCATTGAAATACCTACAAAAATGGCCTAATTTCGGCACGGCCAACGCAGGAACCATGTTATCATTTGCGATGACATAGTGAGCATGCACAACCACGAAAGAGCAGGAATTTATTGTCGCTGAAACGGTTTGACGGTGTATCGCATCGGTAGCCCACGATTTGTAGTTATTTACAGGTTACAAGGTGGCTCTTAGCCTGCGACAAGGAAGAAAAAATTCACGATATGATAATATACCATGGCCTCGTCATCCTTTCCTGTCATTTTGACCCAACGCCTGGTCGTATGACGTATACCAATGTTTTTTTCGTAAAGCTGGATCATGGGTGATATTGATACAGTAGAGTAAAGCTTCTTGGAGAAGTTTAGAAAGGTAGGGAAACGATTATAACACAACGTTTGTCGCAAAGGAAAGAACCATTTCATATACTCTTCACACAAGCCACTAGTTACCCTGTTCTGTTTTCCTTTATTCTGGTGGATCAAATTCTCAAACATTAAATTTTCACAGTTGTTATCTTGTTTGTTGGTAATTAAGACAGCTTCCATGGTCTGAAAGGGAATCAGACTTAAAGTTTACAAGTTAATAAAATATGCAATTTCCTAAATTTTATCCATATTGGCGTTTTATTTAAGCATATAGCTTTTTTCTCCCGCGTCACCGTGTTTATCAGAGGATCACATTTTGTATGGGTAAAGGAAGTGTATTTTTCGACAGCACTGTATTTGCATAGGGCGCTTTTCATTTGAGCATCGTGAAGCCATATACAAAGAAATCAAACAGTAGTCACATATGATATACGATCCTCGCAGTAGTCAATCATAAAAACAGTATGTAGTAGTAGTCAATCATAAAAGCAAATTAGGGAGAGGTAAATTATCAAAGGGAGCCAATGAGAAGCAAGCCTCATGACACGCAAAAACGAGAATGACCGAACAAGTCACGATTGGTTTTAGTTGTGTGTCCAGTTGGTTGGGAAAGTGGTGCTCAGCGAAGAAAGGTAAAGCTATTCCAGTCCCACATTACTTTGAACTGTCATTTGAAAATAATTTGAGGGAAGTTTGAAAACTCTCAGAACAAATGTGAAAGATTTCAATAAAAATGTCGTTCCCGTTTAACCACGATCTTTCTCAGTTTCCGTGCGTGATTTTTGAGACTTCAAAACACTTCTTATTTCATTGTAAGGAATTCCAAAGTGCTATCTTCGTCTGGGGAAGAAGTCCTCCATAAGGGACTCCACAATGGAGAACAAGGACGACTGCGGGTTTGAGGCACTGCCATCTGACAAATGTGGAAACGATTCTGCCAATAGAAGCCATAAATAAAAAAACAAGTTCAAGGAATTCATCCATGAATGAGCAAAGTTTTTGAGAGTTCACTCCTGTTACACTGCAATAAGCGATTCAGACACAGTGTTTGGTGGAAGCAGCAGTTGTTGATTGATGATCGCGTATGATGGAAATATAATTGTCATTCATCATTGGACGAAATCATTTTCGGTTATGCGCAGCGCGAAGAATATTAAATGGGCCCCGACATGTTCACGACTCTGAAATCTCTGAAATATCTGAAATAAACTACAAATAGTCCCTGCTTTTCGGAGGTCATTCGCCCAGTAAAAAAAAATCAGTAAAAAAAGGAAAGTTTACGCGCCGCGCCTCGCTTCACTGAAAGAACCCAGTGATCATTAGTATCAAAAGGCAGAAACAAACATACCTCCACTTCGTTTAGAATTTTGCCACTTTTCGTTGAAATCGTGCCGACCGCGCCTGCCTATTAAGTATAGAGTGGATTTCATTAATAATAATAATTTATTAATTTATAGTGCGCTTTTTAACATGTAATGATCAAAAGCGCATTACACTTGTCAAAATTTAAGCCATCAGTGAAATAAGACTTACATCACAAATTAACAGTAACGTAGGAGACTCTGATCATACTTGAAAACCAGCTTAAACAGGAACCGTTGAAACATATCAAAAATAATAATGGTGATGGTTTTTTTAATATAACCCCAACAGCTGATCTTGTAATTAAATAATAATAATAATAATAATAATAATAATAATAATAATAACACCTTTATTTAGACACGATAATGTTTAAAGCTGAACAGCTTGTGGGGTGTGTGTAAATCCAAATAAACTCTAAATTAAATAAATTCAAATGATGTTGGTTTTTGAGGAGAGGGGAAAACCGGAGTAACCGGAGAAAAACCTCTTGGAGCAGAGTAGAGAACCAACAAACTCAATCCACTTATGACGCCGGGTCCGAGAATCGAACGCGGGACACCTTGGTGGAAGATGAGCGCTCTCACCACTACGCCAACCCTACTCCCCTCATAGCTTCCTGACGAACAAGGAAGGCCTCCTGCACTGGTAGAGGCACTAATTGCTGATTTGCACACATTTGCTTACCTCTGTCTATGTTAACTGTATCTTCCTCGGTCTCTTCATTCCCAGAACTGTCTTTTCTCCTTGTAACAGTGTGCAGCTGATCACCAATTCTTCGTGTTATGGTCACCTGCAGAAAATCAAGCAAACCTCATGAGCTATTACTCCAAGAGTACGAGTTGGCAGATGTCAGACTTTTTAAAGGATAGGCATGCTCCAGAAACCAATTTTTTCTGTGTCAATTAAAAAATATATGATAAAATTTTCTTCTATCTATCTTCCTGTGTAATTCCTAATTATTCAAACAAAGTTGTACAAGATGGGAAAAGTGTACTAAGAGTTTTTTTTTAAATAACAGGTAGGTGGCCAGGTTGCAGAGCAGCATTCAAAATGGCAGCATCTGTAGTGGAATTTTTAGCACAACTTTCAAAAGTTAGGCTACTCTGTGGAATCTCAAAATGTGTTTAGTTTCACAATTATTTGTTTTAATTTATCTGGAGCAAAATTCTTCTTAAAGGCTTCTGTCTGCTGGAATAATGAAACATCCTGGGGAGGATGAGGGTTTGTTAGATAATGCAACAACTTGGGAAGAAAGAGTAAAAACTAACCAGTTAGCAAAGCGAATAAATTTTACCTCTTCTTCTCCATTATAATCTCTTCTTGTGGTTTTTGTTTCAGAAATCTGTCAAAAAGAAAAGGAAGACAAATACTTTGTTTTACCTAATAGCCACTTATCCTGCATCTAAGAAAAGAACAAAGAAACAAGTATGAACAGTTCAAAAACACAGTGCTTAATTCAAGTTTACACAAAAAGTGGCTGTGGTGCAATCATCAAGACAATATAATATAACATCAAAAGATATATCTAGAAACATAGTTTGAAAAGATTTCAGATCTCTGTTAAATGACAACAAGATTTGAATGAGCCCTGCGTAAAACAACTATGACCAGAAAATCAGACATGAAAAATTCAAGGAGATTCCCTGTAGATCATTTCTGCATGGGAAAAAAAAAAACAATAACAACCAAGAAGAAAAGCATTGTGTCTAAAATTTCTTAATGTTTTCCCAAGGATTTTCCAAGGGATTCTACAATTGTTAGTAAGGGTGTTTGTTGGCATTATTATTATTATAATAAATAGAAATGTGTGGTTCATCACATAATTTTTCAATATTTTTCACTTTTATTACAACTGCCTCCTGGTTAGCTCAATTGGTTAGAGCACTGGACTGTGTTGTGCGGGAGGTCAAGGGTTCAAGCCCCGGCCGAACCAATACTCATGGTCTTCAAATAAGTAAGGAGAATTTGCTACCTTTCTAAAATCAAGAAATGGATAGATATTCTAGTCTTCTCGGATAAAGACGAATAAACCTTAGGCCCCGTCTCCTGCAGGGTTAGGGGTAGGAGATGTTAATTTCCCACACATGAGATTACGGTGTGATGGATGTTCTCCCCTGGGTGGGATGGGTGGGAATTGGCCCTGAAAAGCCCCTATGGGGAGTAGTAGTCAATTAACCTATGTATGTATGTATGTATGTATG